GAGGACGCGCCGCTGCCAGCTCGGAAGGGGCAGATGGCGGCCGAGGAGCGGGCCGGCGGGCGGCGGTGGGCTCGCCTTTCCGACAGCGTGCTCGGGGGGCCGGAGGGGCGCGGGGGTTGAGTGCTTGCAGCAGTGGGCGCAAAGTAACTAAATACAGAAGGGAACAGGAAAAGAGGGCCTGCCAGTGCTCCGTCACTCACGTGCAGGAGGATAACAGCGGTTCCGAGTCCAGCCTACTCTCTGTGCTTATTTAAGAGAGATGAGAACGGGGCTAGAATTACATCATACCTTATATCTTCAAGTAGCCACCAGGCTTTCAAACCTTACTTTTCGAATACAACGCTATTTCTAAATATTTAGTAATCTGAGAGTTGTTCTTCCATAAACTTTATCACTTTGAAGCACTATGAAATATCACTGATAGATTCTGTAGCTCAGCAACACCTTGTGTCAAGAACCAGCTCCTTTCAGTTTTTTTTGAACCAGGCAATCTTGCAGCCCACACTTGTTGCATTCTAGTTCCTGCCTTGGAAAACAGTAGTGATCTCTGCCTGTGGTGTTCATGCCATTCGTGGTTGTATGTTCTGTCATACCCCTTCTCAGTTGCTTCTTCCGTGTACTCATTCCCTTTGAAAAGCTGTTCTAGTCTTCGGATGTCTCATTACCCATATTGAACCTTTTCAGTATTTTCTCTGCTTTTTGTTGAGATGAAGGGACCAGAACTGCTGTTTAGTTTTGTTCTGTACGTGCTGATATTTTGAAGCTCTTGGCAGATCCTTTTAAATTTCTTTGTAAATTCTACTTAATCATGTCATCAGACAGCATTACCACTCAGGCGGGAGACTGGGATTATCATATGTGGTTTTCCAAAAACATTATATCAGTGTTTGGTGGCAGCCAGAAAAGCACATCAAACATCAGAATTTTTGAGGAAAATTGATATACTGTAACAGAAAACATCATTAAATTAACATTACTGTAAGTTAAATTAACATTAACATCACCTATATTTTAGATATTTCATAGAGTTCTAGTCTCATCTTAAAAAAAAAAAAAAAAAAGGTACATTAGAAGCATTTTAAAAGGATGAGCAAATGCATGGAAAGACTTTTGTCTTGATGAAGAACTTGATGAAGAACTTTAACTTGATGAAGTTAAGACCCTTCAAACTAGAAAAGAGCCAACTTGCAGAGTGATGATTTACAGGTGTCTGTGAAATGACTCGTGGAGTGAGTTGGAGAGTGTATAAAGGCTCAACCATTTGCTTTCTCTTCCAGTACATGAGGTATTTGCATCATGTGAAGGTAGTAGCCATGTTCACACCAAGATGAGGTAGTTATTCATAAAATAAAACTTCTTACCAGCTGATATTATAGATTAAAAAACTATGTGAATTTAAGGAATATTGGACAAGTGTCTCTAAGAGAACTGCATTCACAGAATAAATCACTTCAGAGGCAGAAACAACTCCCTTAGTGGAAAATGCTTAAAGTCTGGGAGAGGATAGAGTTCTGGAGGCATCACATACACTTGCCTTATCTCTCTCCAAGACAGCTGCTTTTAGGCACCTTCAGGACAGAAGAATGACCAGTATCAACCCTTAATCTGAACTAGTACAGCTTTCCTCTTGAACCATTTGCATGGATGTTAACAAAAAGTTCTCCAGACTTAATCCTGAAATGGAGCTGTTCTCAGATCCATGGCAGGTAAGCTGCTCCTGGTCCACAAATCCTGCCTTGTCCCTCTTCCCCTACTCCACAAAACCATTAGTACATAAGAAAACTGCTTCAGGTTTGTGTGCAGGTTTGTCAGTTCAGCTTTTCTGAAGTCACCCATCTTGGCTGTCCTGTTCAGAGAATGTTCTGTTTCATGGCACCTGGGCTACAAAAATGAGGTTTTGAGGTTTTTTCAGGGGAGCAAGCTGGCTGCCTGTGCTTGAGGATGGATGTTTGAGAAGTTTTGATTTGTATTAGGAGACTTTATAAAACAGATGTAGGTAGGGCCTAGCAATACTCAGTTTCTTCTGACTAGACCACGCTAGCTAGCAGGAGGACTTTTTTGTCGAAATTACTTTTGAGTGAAGTATTTCATACACTTTGCTCTGTCAGTTGTTCCTGTGAAAGTACATTTGGCAATTCTCCCAGTATCTTGTCAAATCATTGACAATCAACTCTTTTTTAGGATTTAAAGATATGAAAAATTGTTTCCAGTAGGAGAGAAGGTTTCTCTGTCTGGGCTTTTACTACCCTCGGCACGTATGTGTGGGTTAGTTTGGCCACCTGTATGCATTAAGAAACTGAAGGTTGAGCAGAGCACAGTACCTTCCTGGTTTTAAGGTAGTAGGGCACATGTCGAGTCTTTTATTAACTTTCCAGCCCCTCTGATGGGGACGTGTTCACCTCCAAGCAGGTGGTTGCAGCCCCTTCCAGGTGATTTTCATTACAGTTACACACCATTGTCCAGCTTTTCTTGATATGTGTTGTGAACAGCATAGATGATGAGCTGTTTGTCTCAAATAGTGACTTGGGTTGCTTGGGAAAAATACAACTATGTTTAACTCCATTTCATGCTATCTATCCATAGGTCCAAGTTACTCCAGAATAAAATGTTTTCTGAGGTTGCATATGTGCTTTTTATATTCTTGGTAAAAGGGGCAAATGCCACCCTCTTCCTTACCCTTCCCAGCGATGAGCAGCGTGACTTTCCAGTTGTATTCCTATTCCTTGGCCTTTCATCTCCTTTCCCTAGTCTCTCCTTCCCCTTTCAGATAAGGGACATTTTATTACAATGAAATGACATCTTTAGGGTACCATAAGAGAATGAGCATTGGAAACTGGCAGAGCAGCAACGTGTCCTTTTGCTTGTACACTTACCAAATGGTATTTCCAAGTTGCGTGGGCATTTGGGAGGCCTGTCTTAAGACATGAGTTAGGTTGACGCTTCCTCTTTGGGAGAGAAACGTTAGCCAGTCACCTTTGGTACAATCTATTGGTAAAAGCTCTGAAAAAGCAGTTCACAATGAGAGTATTTTTTGAGGTGGCTTGGTAAATATGGATCCCACCTCCTGCCTGCCTTCCCCCACAGAAGAGGAGCTTCATCTCAAGTAATGCTGTGGATGTAGAAAAGTCTGACCTCTGGAGCAAGCTACGTTTTCTCTCTTTATGGGGTGAACTATAGTGCAAGGTGGCAGCTTACCTCAGCTGACCTGGTGACTGCAAGTTTCCAGACTTCTCTGGATGGGGTCACACAGTTAGTTACATTTGGGCATAAAGCTGCACTCTACCTCAGAGAGTACTGGTTTCCAGATTATTATAATTTCATAGTTACAGGTAGACCAAACATACAGGGGACCAAAGACTGTAGGAATTCTTGAGTGAGTTAATTTTTCCATAGTGTTCCTTCTAACTTGGGGTGGGTTTTTTTCTCCACTTTGGAATTTGGCTATAAAATTAGATTTTTCATACATGACAGCAGTAAACGTTATATAGTTATTCTTGTGTAGACAGGACCTTGGAGTCTCCTGTGCTGCTGTTTTCACTTGGTATTGTCTCTTTTCATTTATTTTTTGTTTTCTTTGAAGAGCTGTCACTCTGTAGTGATGATATTTACCTGAACAGTTCATCAGCTAATACAGAGATTGAGCTGTGCAGAGGGGGAGGGAGTAAGGAGTCTACAGGCATCTCCACCACCTTCATCCTACCTTCTGCACTGTGTGAGCAGTGGTGTAGTTGCAGTCACCTTGCTTTTCCCATGTTATGGGTAGATCTGGGCCTTTAGAGGCCAGTAACGTTCAAATTTGCCATTTTACCCTATAAACATGAGCCTGCCTGTTCATGTTCCACTGTATCTGTGGGAGCTTACCCCCTTTTTTTCCTGCTTTCCTTTAGATGAACTTTGACTTCACAATGAGTCTTATTTTCCCAAACTCTGTATGTAGTATTCTTAAGCTGTTATTGGAAATCTGTTTTCTTTATTGTTTTGCTTTTTAATTAGATGCAAATGCAATACTTAAGAATAATAGTAAAGAAAATTTGCCATGTTGGTAGTTTTAACCCTTGTATTCCTATTAATGCAAGGGTTTTATAATGTAGGTAATATGGCTGTATCAGCACCGTATGTGTTATGGATGCTCTGAATCCCAAGGCATTCCTAAAATGCAGCCCTGTCCCCCCATGTGGCTCTCGTAGAGTCTGCCTGAGGACAGAGCACAGGCTGCTCCTGGAGAGACCCAGGGCCTGGGGCAAGCACAGGTGGGCCACCTGGAGCCGCAGGGCTCAGGGGCCTTGGGCTTTAATAGGGTGTAAAGGTTCCCTAAGAGCCAGAGGCACTGTGGGTTTCTCTGCTTCCTCCCATCCTCCCCCAAAACTTTCAGGGTTGTTTCTGGACTTGAGATCAGTGAACTGTCTTGGAGGGGTGCAGAGGGGCTTTCAAGCAATAGAGCTTCCTTGAAGCCAAAGAAATTTACAAGTCTTGTTCACATAAACTCCCTTACTTTAATAGTTTTCTGATGACGTAGTTCTTGAGCATGCAGATGTCTTCATGTGAGTGACCTAAGTCAGTATATGTTGACAGTATATGTACGTTCAGAAAAATATCTTGATTTTTGAAGGTGTTCTTAATAGATGTACAGAATATTTCTGCCATATGTTCTGAGTTACCTTTACTTGCAGCCTCACAGTTAATTACTGGTTGGTTCCTAAGGCTTTAATTTACTAACCAAAAGGAAGACTATTAAAAAAATCAACTGAAAAAATATTTATTATAAAAAGATGTCTATGGCTGTCTGCCTTTTAATCTACTGAAACAGTGGGTAATGCTTCATCGGCAATTTTATGAGTGAGGGTTTCATTTCACAGACATGGATTTAGTCCTTGCAAATGCCCGTATGGGCTCACTGAACATAAAATCAGAATTTCAGCTTTTGACTTAAGAACTGCAGGTTTGCATCTGTTTCACCGTAAGTGTCAAAGCATAGATGTCTCCTTGCTTAGGGGATAATAGCAAGCCAGATTACTACATGTATGATGCACTTAATGAAAAAGAAAGCCTGAGATGAGGAGTGATTTTTAAACTTCTAACATATGTCCTAACAAAAAAAGTTCTTGTATAGGCCCCAAAATGGGTTGTAGCATTGCATACTGTTAGGTCATTGTTGCTAGAAACTATATTATCTCTGTGAACTTCAAGCAATTTTTGTAGTAAATGCTTTAAATAATACATAATTTAACTAGGGTTTTACTAGGTAGCGTGACTCCAGAATTCTCCTGTTGCCTGAGGCTAATGGGATAGGTGGGTCTTAGGTTCTGAACATTCCCTATTTGGCCAACCCAGACTCAGAAACCAGCAAGTCCATAAACAATACTCTGGAAAAGCCAAATGCTTTACTCTTACTACATATAGGTACATACTGTGTCAGTGAAATGTCAGAGTAATTATTCTATTAGTGAATACTGATGAGTTATCTCACAGGAGCAGGTTAAGGGTACCATTTTTCCAGCAAGTAAGAAGCTGTGTTTTAGGAAATGTCTTGAAAGCTCTGCTAGGGTGAGCAGCATGGAGGGAAGGGTGGGGACTTTGAATTTTGGAGTTCTCTTTGCAATGCAGGGAATGGGGAGAAGAAAAAACGTGAGCAGCTATACTTGAAATTACACTTAACTTTTGAAGCTGCACACAGTTCAGACAGCATGCAGTTCTTTCGGTGACTTCTGCACAAAGGCAGGCGTACGCCTGTTTCCAAGTTCTGTTAAAGTCATTGCTCGTGTAGTAGTTCTTGGAGGAGATGCAGAGAAAATTAGTTTTTTGAGAAAATAATCTTTTCCAGTTTACATAGAATCACAGAATGGTTTGGATCAGAAGGGACCTTACAGATCACCTAGTTCCAACCCCCTGCCATGGGCAGGGACACCTTCCACTAGCCCAGGTTGCTCAAAGCCCCGTCCAACCTGGCCTTGAACACTGCCAGGGAGGGGGCAGCCACAGCTTCTCTGGGCAACATGTTCCAGTGCTTCACCACCCTCACAGGAAAGAATTTCATAATTATATCTAATCTAAATCTAGTTTAAAAGCGTTAACACCTCATCCTATCACTACACTCCCTGATAAAGAGTCCTTCCCCAGATTTCTTGTAGACCCCCTGGGTAGGTACTGGAAGGCTGCTGTAAGGTTTTCTCCAGTACTTTTCACGTACTTTTCACATTCCTGTTTTCATCACCTTCGTTCCACGAGGTGGCACTGTCTCTTCTAGGAAGGACACAAACGCTTCAGCTTGCCCTCTGGGCAGATGCTGCAGAGCTGGCGAGGGTGAGCCTGGTTCAGTGACGCTGTGCAGCGTAACCCAGTTCAAGTTTTCTGAAAGTGGTGGTACTTTTCCATTAGTATATACCGTGTCTTTTTGATACGAGTTGTGTTAATGTTTTTATGCACAAAATACACAATTTTTTTGGCCAAGTAGTGTTATCTGAAAAGAACACCTGCAGCTTCTTGCCTTTTGTTTGTAGGTTTCTGGCATTCAGATTCTTTTTATGGTGTGGAAGTTAAAGCCAGATGATGCAGGTCCTAGAATGCTAGTTTACTTCATTTTGAGTCAGAGTTGTGTGACTTTTGAATATGGGGAGGAATTACCAGTAGCTATCATTATTTTTAGGAGGGAAGGGAATAATTTCTACAGGATTTGCCAGATCCACCAAAGATTTTTTTTCTTCTGCAAGCTGATACAAAAAAGGTGTATAGATTCAGGAAATCAAGAACTGTAATGACAACTTCCCTGTAACAGTACAAGCCAAATCTGTGCTATATAGCAAGGGAACAGTGTTGCTGCTGTTCCTGAAGTCTCTCTGGAGACATGTTATTTCCAATCTGCCTTTCACTGGTTTAAGAGTTCCTAAGCAGAGGGAGTATGTTTTCTCTTGTTAGGAGGTTTTCCTAGTTAGCTGTTAGACTAAGTCTGCCTTGTCAGTGAAGGTTGTTTTACCTCAGGAGACTATGCCATTATTAAAAGCATTCACCATTGAAAAGGGTTAATTTAATTTTTTTTTTTTTCCTCTGGTTGACGTCTAGAAAAATGGATGATGATGATGATGACATTCCCCAGCTTTCATCCCATACATTGGCTGCCCTCCAGGAGTTCTATTTGGAACAGCAGCAGAGAGAGGGCATGAAGACCTCCCAGGGGTTTAATCAATATTCCATTGGCTCAATAGAAGAAGACTGGGTAAGAAACTATAAACTTCAGTGAATGAAGCACAGTTAGAGGAGTAGCCTTCACCAGGTTTCTTTTGTGGATGGATAATGAAATGAAATGAAAAAGGGGAATACTCAGGATGTTTCTAAAATAGCAAAATCAAACTATTCATAGACAATAACACTGTAGGGATATTTGCTGTAATATTAAATCTGGGTATAGTTGTCTGTTCTACATGTGTGTGGAGGGGTACAAACTGAAATTACATGGAGAGGGAATAAAGTTGCCAACAGAAGCACCCTTCTGGAAATTTCCCTTCTGGAAATTTTAACTCCAGCCTGGCATGTGAAGGTAGTAAAGATCCTTCCCTGAGTTTGAGACAAACACAGTGTAACACCATCAAGTGATGTTTCCTTTCATATAATTTTTCTTTCTGTATTTTCTTTATTTGGTTTTGTGGATGGCTGCTTTGCTTTTTTTTTTTTTTTCTTCTGACAGACTGATTTTTTATTTGCCTCTGGATTGTGAGGTTTTATTCTTCCTCTTTCTGATCTCTTCTGATTTAGTGCTTTTATCCTTTAGTTCCTTCTATACTGTCACTTTTCAACTTCCTTTCTCCTCTTCCTCTAAAGAAACTCAAGTTAAGTGTGCATAAATATTGTGCATCTGTATATTGGGTTTGAACTAACCTCATCAGTGGTTTTGCATTACTTGGTTTTCCTGATACTGAAGTAAATGCTTTGCAAACACACAGTGTAAAGCTGTCTGCAGCGTATCACTGGATTACAGAAGTAAAAAGACGTGTCAGAAAAACAGGCACCTTTCCAGCTGTACAGTTTATGAACTGAGAATTTGCTATGGATTTTGGTTTTCTTCAGATATGACTCACCACACCTAACTGTACATAGCACAGTCAGAAGATTTGATGTTGTTTGTAACTGTGCATTATCTTTCTCCAGCAACTGAGCCAGTTTTGGTACAGCGATGAAACTGCATCATGCCTGGCTAATGAAGTGGTTGTGGCAGCTGGAAAAGGTGGCAGGTGGGTTTTAATAATTACATTGTAGATTTAATGTGTCTTGTTTGTAAATATTTCATTTCAACTAGGTAGACAGAACATGCAGCTTAATTAATTACTCATTGTAATTCACCTTTCTTAGTTGAGATATTGCAGAAATGCTATTATTTAATTAATAGTTCGTACTAATTTTACCATTTAGCATTTCATTGAATGTTGTAGGCTCTGCCTTGTGAAAGTTTACTGTGAGTATTTTTAATTTTTGAGAAACAAAAAGATCCAGAGCATATTAATAACTTGTAATTCTTTTCCCTGTTTTCATACAACATTGCTGTAGAACAGATAGTAAAACTTGGTTCTCTTCCTATTTCTGTAAGGGGTTGTTTTTAAGTTTTCAGGTATATTTCCTTGCTGTTCTGAAATAAGATTTTCTCTGTAGTTAATCTTAATTTGTTAGAATGGAGGAAGAATGGCTTACATTTTTGGGACTAGTGTTTAAAATATTTTCCTAAAGAAGTCCTGAGGACTGCTGTAGGGGGTTTTTTTGTTGTCGTTTGCCTTTTAAATTAATATTCTAAGTTATTTTCTCTTCTTCAGGATAGCATGTGTTAGTGCACCAAGTGTGTACCAGAAACTGAAAGAACATGATGGTAAAGACTTTTCAGTGTGTATACTGGAGTATGACAGAAGGTTTTCTGTATATGGAGAAGAATTTATCTTCTATGATTACAACCACCCTTTGAACTTACCTGAAAATCTCCTGCCACACAGTTTTGACATCGTAATAGCAGATCCACCCTATCTGTCTGAGGAGTGTCTTCAAAAAACTGCAGAGACCATCAAATACTTAACAAGAGGAAAGATTCTGCTTTGCACAGGTATAATTAATAAAAACATTAGGTCACCATTAAGCATCTTTTTCTCTAAAAAGAAAAAAGTGAGAAAAATACTAACTCAGTAATACGGATTTATCATTAATTCAAGAAGGAATGCGTATCCTAAACTTTTTATTGCATATTTTAGTTCGATGTTTATTTTAAACTGAAGGCATGTGGTTTTTAATAGTTGAAGTCAGTACTTTTTTCATATGGCATTATGAGTTTTATAGAAATATTATAGAAACTGTAATGTGAATGAATATATGAGGGGACTCTGCCACTGTGATTCAAGTAAGGAGCTCTTAGACACTGAAATACAGCAGGAGGAATTAAAAAACAGTGATAAGAGCATTGAAACTGTGTAACTTACCAACTGTACTTGCAGGTCCTTCTTTATGAAGATACACTTGCTGGTTTAAAAGCGATGAGTAGATGCCTTAGTCATGGTGTTTTTTTAAACTGTAATCTTACAAGACATCTGAAGACATCCAGGAAACTTTTGAAAAAAAACCCTCTATACATACAATTCGAGGGAAGTCAACCAAAAGGCAAAATAAAGAAAAAATAAAAGAATATATGGCTATAGAAAGCCTACTTTGTCTAATTGCACATGGCAGTCATGCACAAGGGTGGCTCTCAGAATTTTTTTCCCTAAAATGGATAGGTGGTCCTTCAGTTTACAAAGTTTGAGAAATACTGCTCAAGGAAATGGTTTCTCTGTGTGTAGCTGTAAATATCACACTGTGGTTTATTTAAGTGGAAGAGTGTATGTAATCTGTTTGCATTTCCCATGGCTCCCTACCATGTAATTTCTTTGGCATGTAGCTAGAAGATTGAGTTCAAGTTTCTGTTTTCTATAAAAGGGGCACTGATCTTACCCTCTACCTATTTTTATGAAACTTCTAGGGCATTCATTTCCTTGGGGCATCTTCCATTCTTTCATATTTATTTTAGATTTCCCTATAGATTCAGTTGTTAGAGGGCTGACAGTGTAGCTGCTTCCTTAAAAAAAAAAGTAGGCTCTGTATATATGCATTTGGGAGGAGCTATTAAAAAAGCCCAAACATTCTGTTACTGTTTTTCTCATCAAATACTAATTATTTTTGCTGCAGGTGCAGTCATGGAGGAACAGGCAGCAAAGCACCTTGGTGTGAAGATATGCAAGTTTATTCCAAAACACTTGCGAAATTTAGCCAATGAATTTCGATGTTACGTGAACTATGCTTCTGGACTGGACTGATTCTCATAAGATGATCTACAACTTTTTCAGTCAAGCTCCTTTCTGTTTTTTATCAGTGAATCCACATTTCTCAATGCTGAAATATTCAGCTCCAAGTACTGTTTCTGGGCTAGCTTTAATCAACACGATGTGATAGCCTCTCTGTTTTAAATGTGTAAGCATTTGCAGTTACTGGTTTTTATCCTACCTGTTAGGTAAATGGGGACCAAACAATGCAGATAGTGGATAATGGGAACTTCCCTGTTAGGAGTTTCATTCTATTAACTGGTAGTTTTTACCATTCAAGGACTCTTCACTGACCTCTCTGAAGTGGTTTTAGCTGGTTGGCTTATAACAACACATAGGTGCTTTCCTCACAGACATCAGGATCATCATTGCTTCAGAGCTGATGACTTGGTAGCTAGTGGATGGTTCAAAGAGCATGAATACTGGTCTCCTCTCAATCTTGAGATGTACTCCCTTAGAGGACTGAGAGAAGTTTGCTCTGAATGTGTCACATGTTTTCAGATTCATTATCCAGCAGGCTCATATTTTTATAAAGGTTAACTAGAAGAGAAGATAGGTCTCCTTCTGGGGAGGCCTCTACAGTTGTTTTTAATAATAATCAGAACTACCTACCAGTTGCCAAGTAAGATAAGACCTGCTATCCACTACTGTTGCCAGACTGGCTTTTTAAAAATTTGTGGTTATTATTTCACCTTTTCTCTAAAGCCCAGCCTTTCTTTTTGTAACAGAAAGATCTATTCTGTCATCACTTACCACCATCTAAACTTGTGTATGTACAAATGCTGTACTAGAGAAGAAGTAATCTAAGTTGTTAAATGTCTCTTTGCAGAAGTACAGCGCGTTTATTTTACAGTGTTTATGTGTTAGCGCAACAAAGTCATAAGCTTTCAAAAGACCACACAACTAGGCTGTTTGATTTACTAGTTAAGCTAATCTCCAGAGGTGGTATAAACTTGATGTCTCTTTTGAAAAAAGCACAATAAGGATTTCCCCATTACAGAGAGCTTTAGGTTCATTAAGAATCCTACTTATTAGTCAAGCCAAATCACCTGGAATACGAAGTAATTACTAAATAAAAATGCAACACATCAGCCTGTCCTTGTAGTAATGCTTCAGACTGTGTTCATGGGTTCTCACTTGGAGTTATTCTTACTGTTGGTTATAAGATACTTCTGTAGTGATGTGACCCATACATGTTAGTCCCTTAAATCTTGAATCATAATGGATCTGATTAAATGTAGTGCCTGCTTTTTAGTAGATTTCAATACCAAGCTAAAAATGATTTACAGGTATGTCAAGTTTGTAGTTACAAGAACAGTCCTTTTTTTTTTCCAATTGCCCAGTTTTGTCTTTGTCCTGTTGCAGACAGCAGCAGAGCAGTAGAAGCAGCATCTTAGAAATCGTTGAATCTTACAAGGCCACTGAGGTAAAACATAATGTATTGATAAACTCCCGCTGTTTCTAATAGACAAATGGAGGAAGAGCTTGCAGGGAGGATGGAGAGCAAGCTCTTCTGGCAGTGTCTGAGCCCATGGCTGATACAGTTTTGTCTTTCAAACCAGAAGCCATCCTTGCTGCTGAGCCCAGTAAAGCCAGAATCCCCCCTCAAAAAGGACAGTCCACAGGTGACATACAGCTGAGTTTAGCTGTTTGCCTGGAGGCTACACCATTGATTTTATGTGGCCAGTTTCAAAATAAAGCAAACCAGAATGTTAAATGCACAGATATTGGCAGAAATCTATACTTCACAATTGTAAACTGTTTTATGATTATTACCTCAGTGCCTTGCACATGAAGCAGATGGAGACAATGAAGTAATTCCTGAAACTTTATTTTTATCTACGTAGAGGCTTTAAGTGGGACAGGTATTTTCAGAAGGGATGATATTCTTCACCCCCCAATTAGAATGTGCAGTTCAAATACAAACTTCACCTATGTTGCTGCTTTGCTATTAATTCTTTCAGTTGCCTGCTTCATTTTGGTAACTGTGTGTTTGTTGGGCTCTCTATATCAGAATTAAAAGACAACTTTGCTAACTTCATCAGAGACCTTTCTTAAAGTCCACCATTCAGTTGTACCAAGAAATTCAGTTCACCAAGAAAATAACTGCTACTTCTCACATATAGGTTGGGTGGCTTTGAAAAGAGGCACTGTGAAGATGCACGATTATGAAAATGAGGGTACATGTAAATCTGTATAAATGCACTCAACAGAGCAGCCCGTTGTCCACCAGCTTCCCTCCTAAAAGCCTGGTGAATGCAGGCGGCTGCCCAAGCAGAGCTTGACTAGGGGCATTCACAGCCTTCATCAATGGTAGGAGGTAAACTATTTTTGTCATACTTGTTTCCAAGGAAGTAGCTGTGTGAAGGTTACAAGTCACAAAAATGCATAGTGAATCTGTGCTTTGTGCCATCATAGTAACTTTAAGAAATACTGTGTGACAGCAAAATCTCTTTTCCATAATAGGATTATGAAAAAAACCTTCAGCCTCAAGCAGTGATTAGCATTCTTTCTTTCCTGTGGATGTCTCATGGATGGACTTTCTATTAGAACAGACTGTGGTGCAGCATTACCACCCTGCTACCAGTGGCACTGAGGACTGCAGAGTCGCGTGTTGGCCGCACTACCTTGGCTCTGGCTGCACTGCCAGTCACTGCTGGGCATCTCAGTGCCCTGCTGCCGGTGTCAATGTGACACTTGGCAGGGAAGCCCAGGGTCTTGTGCACCAGGTGAAAGAGAACATACTGCAGCTGCCTCCACCCCAACCCAGATGACAAAACATTTCTAGCAAGGTACTGCTTCCATTAAGATCGGTACTTGCCATTAAAAATGGTGTTGCTCTCGGCTCGATGCTGCATAGTGAGCCCATCTCTGTACCCCGCAAGTGCCTTTGCCTCTCTGCCCATGCCCCTGTGTCCCAAAGTAAGTGGGAGATATCACTGATGGTTGGTTTTGTCACTCTCCCATGGCTACCTGCTCAGCGCAGCCCCAGGGCGGTGCAGTGAGGTGGGGAACAGGGTGGCCGGGTTCGGGTTGCAGAAGTCGTGCATCAGCAGTGGCAGAGCTGTGCTGCTGCTCTGGGTCTGCTTGTGTTCTGCAGCTCCCTTAGATGACAGTACTGCAAAACCAAGTGGTAGCTCATGCCACTACTCAGCAAAACACATAGGTCTCCCTCATATCACAAAATTACAGAATTATTCAGATTGGAAAAGGCCCTTGGGATCATCGAGTCCAACCATCAACCCTACGCCACAAAGTTCCCCCCTACACCATATCCCCCAGCATCTCATCCAAATGACCCTTAAACACACCCAGGGATGGGGACTCCACCACCTCCCTGGGCAGCCTATTCCACTCTATGACCACTCTTTCTGTGAAAATTTTTTTCCTAATGTCCAGTCTAAACCTCCCCTGTTTGAGTTTAAAGCCATTCTCTCTTGTTCTACACTCGTTACCTGTGAGAAGAGACCAGCACCAACCTCTCTACGATGTCCTTTCAGGTAGCTGTAGAGTGTGATGAGGTCTCCCCTCAGCCTTCTCAAGGTAAAAAGTCCAAGGTCCCTCAATCACTCCTCACAGGATTTGTTCTCCAGGCCCTTCACCAGCTTCGTTGCTCTCCTCTGCACTCGCTCCAACACTTTGATATCTCTCTCGTGTTGAGGTGCCCAAAACTGGACACAGTACTCCAGGTGTGGCCTCACCAGTGCAGAGCAGCGGGAGACCATCACTTCCCTCCTGCTGGTCACACTATTTCTGATACAAGCCAGGATGCCGTTGGCTTTCTTGGCCACCTGGGCACAGTGGTGGCTCATGTTCAGCTGCTTGTCCATTAGAACCGCCCATCCTTTTCTTCCACACAGCTCTCCAGCCACACCTCCCCAAACCTGTAGCAATGAGTGGGGTTGTTGTGGCCCAAGTGCAGGACCTGGCTCAGCCTGCTAACGTTGGCACCGACCCAACCTATCCAAGTCTCTCTGCAGAGCCCCCTACCTTCATGCAGGTCAACACTCCCGCTTAGCTTGGTGTCATCTGCGAACTTACTGATAATACACTCTATGTCCTTATCAAAATCATCAATAAAGATGTTGAACAGAAATGGTCCCAAAACCGAGCCCTGAGGAACACATATGCCTCAGTCCAGGTAGTTACAGCTGTTCCCTAATCTCAGTGAGATTAATGGGTGTTTATACTTTCTGATCACATCATAACCCTTTTCCTTTTCCCCTTGTTGCTTTCCTGTTTGTGTTCCCCCATGTGATTTCATGTTTACTTGCAACTGTAGACTTCCACCTATTCAGACAAACACCTTCATGTAATGACTGGCTAGTAAACCAAAACTAGCATCTCAGGCTTCTCTAACCTTCCTGAACGATACGAATTTTCCAACCTATCTTAATAATACTACGCTTAAAGAGAAAATAATCTTTTTACCAAGGATATTGTTCTGTGTTTTGTGGCTCCTAATGTATTCCAGGGACAACCTCACTGAAGGAAAAGATTTTCCTGGCACAACAAAAATTTTCTCAAATCAGCTGCAGCTGCCAGATAGTTTCAGCTTTGAATTGTTTGGATTTATTGGGCCTGGAGTTGGTTCAATGAGGCATTTCATGTCTGCCTTGTGTCAACAGCTTGTGAGCCTTGAAGCAACTCCAGTGAACCCTCCCTCCTCCCATGCAAATTAAAGGCAAGCCTGCAGCAGCTGTAACCAGAGGGCTAGAAGCTGGAAAATGTCACACCACAGTTGAAATGAAACTGATATAAATCCATGATGTGATGATCTCTTTAAAAAATAAAATTCCAAACAAACGTAAACTACATTTAATACTCAACCTCTTCCACACAAGTAATGTAGATAGGGGTTTATATAGGGAAGGATATTTTGAAAGTTAAGAAATGTTTGTGTGGCTAATAGTTCATGATATTAAGCATTAACAAACAGTTGTTCCCTAACCAATTATTATCAAGTTGCTCACGCTACAAGGTAAACATAGCTTTTAAAAGACACCTAACCAGAAAGCTGGATCAGGAAGCAAATTGGCTCAGCTTCTGTCACAGAAGGGTAACGATTAAAAGAGGAAAACGGGGCTTCTAAGTAAGATAATATCAGGTTGCCTGTAACCATAGGAAGCTTTCTGCACTTGTTGCAGTATGATGAGAAGACCGTCGCCAACATATATGATCTATTGATCCACCAGGGTTTTGCAGTTCTCTAACACTTTCCTTTCCGTCATCCAATTCCTGAAGCTGTATGTAAGCTAAAGCATCTGTTTTTCTGGACTGGTGAAATCAATTGTGTTCCATTTACCTGATCTTAGCCTGTGACTCCCAGGAATTCCCAGAACATACTCTAGTTACTTGAAAACCTCAAACCGATTCCATAATTTATGCCTGTAGGACAAAAGAGTTGCAACAAAAAGTGAGATTTTTTTTCTCCACATCATGCAAATAAATCCACGTGCTCTAGTAACTAATTTGTTGCAGACAGAGTTGTATAACAAAAGGGTGAGGGCAGAGAGATGACTTTTGCTGGAGGGCAGTGTTTAGACCGAGCTTTAGCTGGTAGCCCTTCTGGGTATTTACTAAATGTTAAGGGCTGTGTGGTTTGGGATTTTTTTGGTGGTGGGGGTTTTTACTGCCTTTTAATGTGAAGACTTTGCTTTCTGTGCTGTGGATTCTGAAGGTACAACTTCATCCTATTTAAAGGCTGTGTGTGGAAAAAAAAAAAAACAAACAAAAACCCACAATTTAATAGCGAAACCTAAGATCTTGGACTGCTGAAGCATCATCTAATGAAGTGTTTCTCCAGTTTTGCGGATCTGCTTCCCTTTTGAGCCCCTCTGTCTTTGATTACCATTTCCCTCTTCTCAGAGGGTGAGAAGTTCTTCCACATTAGGAGGAAGGAAAAGTGGCTGTAATTGCTGCAAGTATTTACATTCTCCAGGGAACAGGTAACTACCTTTAATTGCTGGCAGCAGCTAGGCAATTAGCTGTTCTCGGAGTAGTATAAACACTTTATGACCTTTTTTGAACCCTTCTTTGAGATTCCCCTTGAGATAGAAGCATCACAATTTGAGGAAACACAGATCTGAAAACAACTAGAATTGTGGAAAAGACAAGAAATACGGTTATAAACTTCAATCTGACATTGTGATGGGAATCTTTTATTGGTTTCTGGAGTTCTTAAAGTTGTTTTAGGCTTTGTAAGAAGCTATACAGATTGCACCATAAAAATACTGTTATACTAGACTGAGTCATAAAGAGCACAGTCAATAATTATGCACCAAGACAAGGAGTTATCCTATGATTTTCATTCTCCAATTAACTTTTATTTAATTCTGGTTAGCTTATAGTCTTTTCATTCTTCATCCAACAACACTCCAAAGAAGCGTGTGTTTGTGTAGTGCAGGGACTTTCTCCACTATGAATGAAGCCCAATTTTGTTATTCTTGATGTAGCAAATACATTGCTGCATATGATGTTCATTCTTTTTTGTAATGATTTTGCAGTCATGAGCTGTAAACGATACTCTCTGCTGTGCATTCAGAGATTTATCAACTTACTTTGGTGATTCTGGCCCTCAGAAGAGTTCTGTTCGTGCAAGGTATGCCTGGTTATTCCTGATTCTCATTCACAGACTGAGTCAACCTTCAGTCTCTTGTTCTGGAAACGCAAGTTTTTGTGTCTCTAGGGTTTCTGATTAGGGCTTGCCACCAAGTTCCCGTAAACTGCAATGATGGAAGACTGCTCTTCCACAGACTAACCTCTTCTAAAGGTGATTGTCTGTTATGTGTAGCACAGGGGAAAATGAGTAACACTGATTGTATAAATCAGTTGGATTTAACAAATCTGGATTTGCTGGGACTCACCTCAATGACCTCATGCATCTAGAAGTCATGACCCAGCCTGTTAACTCATCTGCAGTGTACCTGAGATGAAGCCTATCCTTCATACTTAATTTCTTAAAATAGGGAATCTCCTCTCTGAACATGAAAAAGGTTTTTGCCTTTCAACTGTACAGAATACAGTTTTCTCACAAGAAACAGTTAAGCAGTTAACCATGAATGAAATCTAATACAGAATTCTTGGGACCCAAACTGTGTTTTTTCTAATTGATATTTGCTGTGTAATTAGACTTAGTCCACACCAGAAAACTCCACTGCAGTTTTACAATATTCTAGCATGCTTTTTCTCAACACTGTTGTACCCTTCGCAAATTGGCATGTTTAAAAATAGCAAACTCATGGAATATTGTTTCATGAATGACTCAAACTCAGCAAAAGTTTCCCTGGTGCAGTGTATAAATAGCCAAAGATGTAACAGTCAAGAACACTGCTTAGACTTGAGATATGCAATACAAAGGAAGGCTCTCCCAGCCAGAGAAATTACCCTTTTAACTGCTGATTTGGCACATGTATGGCAGCTGTGTGTTTTTTATATGAGTGTTTAAAAGTAGAGTATAAAAGATTCCTTAAAAATATCTACAACCAATAGTC